CCCCGCGAAAAACCACTGTACGTCGAGCTTACAACCGGAGGATTGTTGTAATATCGTCGGTATTCCGGTAATTATTTCTCGGGGCGGGCGAGGAATAAATAAAGCGCGACAAAGGCGACGGCGACGACGCGGTGGGACGCCGGCTGTCAAAGCTGATTAAGTCGTCGGCGGCGCTGAGGCGTCGAGGCGCTGACCCTTGGGTGATAAGTGCTCCCTCGTAAATCACACCCTCCGACTCTGACCCGCGGGTCGCCCTCCAGAGACCGCTCCGGTCACCGCAACCCGTGGCGACCGCGTGAAAAATCGATAATCGATAGTTCCTCCATTTGAAGCTATGCTAAAGAATCGATTAAGTGGCGTGGCGTGAATAGCGATATATCGATTGCTATGCCATTTAAACCTATGGAAAAGGATCGATAAACAGGGTGTTCGCAGCGAACACCTTAATAATCGATTCTTTACAATAGGTTCAAATGGCATAACAACCGATGTATCGCAATTCACGGCACGCCACTGAATCGATTATTAAAGCGTTCGTAACGAATACCGTGTTTACATCGTCTGATGTCACTTTTACATGTAAAGTAAATGACGTGGCGAGGCGTGAATGATCGATTTTCGATACTTCCTCCATTTGAAGCTATGCTAAAGAATCGATTATTAAAGCGTTCGTAAGGAATACCGTGCTTCCATCGTCTGCTGTCACTTTTACATGTAAAGTAAATGACGTGGCGAGGCGTGAATGATCGATTTTCGATATTTCCTCCGTTTGAAGCTATGCTAAAGAATCGATTATTAAAGCGTTCGTAACGAATACCGTGTTTACATCGTCCGATGTCACTTTTACATGCAAAGTAAATGACATGGCGAGGCGTGAATGATCGATTTTTGATATTTCCTCGATTTGAAGTTGTGTTGAAGAATCGATTATTAAGGTATTCGACGCGAATACCCTGTTTATTGATCCTTCTCTAAGTTTAAATGACAGATCAATCGATATATCGCAAAGCTCGCCACGCCACTGACCGCAACCGAGTCGGCTTTCCCACTACGCGACGCGGAGACTATGCCTGCCATGCTAAGGAAGAACGCCGTAAGAGCTCTCATGTGTTGCCAAATTTTATTCTTTAAAATAATAATTTCAAAGGAGGTTTTTGGAATTTTTTCCTTTCAATTTTTCAGAGAATTTAATTTTTAATTTGATCTGAAGTATGTGAAAATTTCAAGGAGAAATGGACGTATTTCTACCAAACAGACCTATGTGCAAGTGAGACATATGCGGTGTGCTCGTTAGTTCTCTTTGCGTAAGAGTGAATGAGAATAATAAAGCGCCAGTGACGTCAGCGGCAACGAACGAGAGCCGCCACGACGAGGAGGTCGTTGGAGGGAGTCTTCAACTCATGAGCCCTGTCCACAACGCTCTCTTGCCATGCCCGCGGCTCATGACTCCCGCATTCACTTGGCACATAGGTCTGTTTGATAGAATGTAATATCCCGCTTTTCCAATTCTACAGAAGGAATCACGCCCACTTTTACATTGCTTCTTATGCAGCCTCGACGAGCACACCCCATGTTTCTCACCTCCACATAGGTCTGTTTGGTAGAAATACGTCCGAATATTCATAACTTTCATGAAAAATTAATGTTCCATAAGGGGAAATTCGGCAAATCCTGAAGGATCTCACGGCGTTTTCCCCAACAAGACTGAGTCGGCTCCGCTCCGGGCATCTAGAGCAAGAGCGCCAGGCCATCAGGTGGAAAACCACGCCCCGACCTCCTGCATGTGGAGAAAACTTAGGAACTAAGCTCCCCCCCCCCCATNCCCCCCCCCATCGCAAAAATCGTAAAATTCGGTACGGTAGATTTCTGAAACGAATTGTGAAAAAAGAAAATTTACATTGTTTCAATGGGAAAATTCAATTTTATCACGTAAAATTAATCAAACCTGGGTCTTGTTCCCAACATGCGAGTAAAGCGGACTCATCCAAGAGCTATCGTCTGTCGATAGCCGTGAAAATCGTGGAAATCGGCGCAGTAGAATGGTAGAACAAACTGTGACAAAAAATGAAAGTATAATAGGTTAGAAAGCTCACAGTAATGATGGAGCAGGAGATGACGAGCGGAGGAACGTACGTTTCTACGTCACAACGAACTAACGAAAATCTAATGAAAATCGTAACTTTGGGTCACATTAAGATGTGAAGCAAAGTCTACTCCTTCTTTGAACCTTATTTTCAGTGACCGATTGGCTGATTTACATATCTGCGTCACAACTGAATCTAAAGGTGGCTGTCTCCTTCCACCCTCTATATTTTCTCTGCGGGCAAAGCCATTATGAGGGTTCATTGTCACCCCGTAGATAGCACGAATTCCGCGCTCGTCTCATTATGTTTCTATATTTATTAAATTAGCAACGGCTGCTCAGCAGAACGCTTGATTTACATTTTTTCTGTAAATATCTCTAATTCAATTTATTTATTTTTTTTTGGTTGCAGGTATAAAATTCTGACTACATCTTTGCCACGATTGCATCTCGACTGGTGAGCCTTTTTGTCCCTTGTTTGTATCAGCATCCGGGGTGGAAATGTTTCTAAACACATAATAATTTTACACTAAAACATAGATAATCTCGCTTCAAATTAACGAATTAAACAAGTATATGAATAAATAAATAACGTAAAAACTTGACAGTACATCAGGAGTTTCCATTCCCCGAGTCAAAATTTAAGCACGCTGCGCTGTGTCAGAGTCTGGCAAAGTGATGCACTTCGAGATTACATTACAGCACTCAAAATCGGGGTGTAATTTTTGCACTGGAACTCCGCTTACATCTGGAATTCTAGCTCTGAATGTGTGAATTTTTTCGTCGGGATCTCTATCAATTTGAATGTACGCGGGGCTGGCAAAGTACAACGCGCTTGTTATGTGCTTCAACGCGTTCCATGAAACTTAGAGAAGTAAAAATCTCCTTCAAATGTGAATACTGCAACTTTTATAGCACATACGTTCCTGCTTGCCACCCACCTTTTAGGCGTAAGCTAAGAAGTATCAATTGCTTAGTGTGTAATTCAGGGAACCCTTCCGTCATCAATCACGTCAAATGGTCAATTTAATGTCTTACACTAATTCCACTAATTTCTTTCTTCTAACAGAAAACTAAAATCAGTCAATCATGAACGTATAAATTTTATTTTATTCTCCAATTGCATGGAATTAATTCATTTGCAAGTGAGACAAATGTTTGTGTCTCAGCAGTTGAATTTTTTCAGAAGCTTAAAAATATAGATTTCCTTGATAGGGGATGCCAAAAACTCCGTTTAAAAACGCTAGGAGAAAAAAGGCAATACGCCTAAACAGGTATGAAAAGGGAAATACTCATCCCTAATAATGTGCACTTTTATTTCATCGTTTTTCATTTTACTTCTTTACTCATTCTTTTTATACACATTACTCTGTAATTAAAGAACCATTCATATGGCGACACAGCATTGCAAACGGCCCACTGGAACTTAGTTGTACAGAAACATCCTTAATTCACATCCATACAAGTACAGCCAATGAAATTTCCCACGATCCGTTTATTTTTCACCGAGTTTATATCAGTTATTGCTCTCGGACATAGATTTAATTGTTGTTGTTCCTCGGACCTTCGATTGTAGCATTATTATATTATGTTTAGGAGGATAAAATTGACAACCTTAAAGATCATCGTACAGGTTTTCCAGCTTATAAAACAAATTAATGTAGCATCATCGAGGACATCCCCCCTATTTTTGATGTGTTGTTTCAAATATTGCTGTTATTACAGACTAAAACTAACGGACCTCGCTGAATATTCTCGGTTTGTGTATTTTAGATAATGATAGCATGGAAGTAGTGTTGGTAACTTATTGATAGGGGCAAAAAAGAAATCGTTTTCATAAATTGACTTAAGCCTATTAAGTTAACGTTTTCTCGCTTCCAGCTTGTCAAATTATTGGAAAACTCAACGTATGTTGTTGTTTCGTCAATTTCAAACTCATTAATTAACTCTACTCCTAATTCTCTTTTTCGCGAGGACAGAGGTTTGTTGCACATACGAGATAGAGCTAGCTTTAATTACATGATCATGCACGAAAATCGTGTTGAAGAATCGTTTATAAACTTCTAAAATACAACTAGTGACGCACAGTTTGCGCACTTTGTGTTTCGAATTATTTTCAAAACCATGTATGTGGGAAAATTGTTGCTAGTTGCGTATAACAAGCCTTGGCTAGAGAGAAATTTACCCTCACTCAATTGAACAAGTAATCTCGTAAATTGTCACCAAAATTTCTCGTTTATTATTTCAATCAGTATGAAGCATTTGGTTTTGCCTTTTATCTAATATGGATGAAGTAAACCCTTTAAAATGATTGAAAGTGCGAGAAGGATTTGTGAAAAGGATTGCTTTTCAGGTATGATAGTATTTTGACTTTCGAAATTTTTCAAAATACGCAAGTTCTGTTCCAAAGTATTCACCAAAAGTCTTGACGAAGCTGTAATTTATGAAATTAAATCATGACACGATATCGTGAATGTGGGTTCTTGGCTGCCTTACTTTTCTGATAGCTACCTACTTTAAAACAGTCACGTTAGATTGTTCTCCGAGTTGATTGTGCTCGGTGCCTTGTCACGGAGAAAAGATATTGTTGCTCTTATAATGATCAAAGCGGATTCTAGACCCTACCTACTTTTCTAGTGGTAATCACAGTTTTACCCTTTGGACAACAGTACAGCATAACGATATAGGGATCAAAATAGGTATTACTCTCCAAGTTACATTGTAATTGCCATTAGGCAAGTAGGTAGGACTCGAAATCCGCTATAAGCTCACAAGAGGAACGATTTGTTTTCCTCGAGTGTCCTCTTGGAAGTAATTTTTTCCGCTGAGTTGGATACCATATCCCACCAGCAACAGATGAAAGAATAAAAACCCAAAGTAACTAAATAAATTAATAATTTATTATCTAAAATGGCACTTAGAATAGAAACAGGTAACCTCTTCATTAAAAATAATACAACAAAGATAGGTAACAGAAGTTTAGTGATGAGCATAGACTGGGGCAGCGTACGCTGGCGCGGGCGCGTGGTATGCGACCGGCGCAGGGGCGTGGTAGGCAACCGGCGCTACAGGTGCAGGCGCGTGGTAGGCAACTGGTGCAGGTGCATGGTAGGCAACTGGTGCAGGCGCATGGTAGGCGACTGGCGCAGGTGCGTGGTAGGCGACGGGGGCTGGGGCGTGGTAGGCGGCCGGCCTGGCGTAGGGGGCGACGTAGCGCGGTGCGGGGGCGTAGGGGGCGGGGGCGACGACCTTGGGGGCGACGGCGACGGGGGCTGCGTAGGGTGCGGGCTTGGCGACGGGGTGGGCGTCAACGTCCTTGTGGACGACGGCGTTGAAGCCGTTGACGGGGTCGGCCGTGTAGTCGACGGTCCTGCGGCTGCCGTCGGGCTCGGTCAAACTGTAGCTTCCGGAAACGGAGTCACCTGAGAACAGAATAATTAAGTTTCATCACTCAATTGTATTGCGCCGCCCTACTAATTGTCAGAGATGTTATCATAGTCGCCCCTTAAGGTCTTTATCATAGTTATACTTTAAACTGCCCTTTTCCCTAGAAGGCCCCATCTGGTTTATATTATGTGCAGGGTTACCACAGTCAGGGAATATCGGAAAAATCGGGAAACGTCGGGGAATTTTGAAAAGTCAGGGAAAATGGCGAAAATCTGAGGGAAAATTTTTTAATCACCCTTATCTGTCTCCTAGAATGGGTTTGATGTTTCAAACAGCAGATTTTGTCTGAAAACTATTTCTGATCCACGTGTCTTCAATTGTCAGGGAATTTCACCAAAAGTCAGGGAAAACAGGGATATGTCAGTTTATTTTCTAGATTCACTGTCAACGCTGTATGTGCTTCGTGATTAAGGGAGGTTTAAGACTTTCGTATTTTTACTTTTGTATGAAAGCTAATCATTTCCTTCCATTTCAAGAATCTATTTACGAAATCATACGGTTGAATTTTACTCACGGTTCTTTAAGTCATTTTTATAATGTCATGTTGATGACCTCTTGAACCCTCCTTTAAAACTGAAATCGAATGAAGTTTCTGACATAATTTAGTTTTAATGCAGTCCTCACAGCTCTTGTTTTGAGCACATTTCGTCCCTGTTGTGATCGGCACGATGTCATATCGTTCACGAGAAAAGCAAACAGTGCGCTACAAATGTGAGGGACATCAGACACTTTAAAGTAGTATTTATTTATTTTTGACTTGTCAACAACTATATTCTAATGGATTGACACAATTAAACTGTAAACACGTGTCTCTCGAATTTGAACTTGAGATATTATAACTTAATTTTGCAATGAATAAATGGACCGCCTTAAGCAGAAAGGAACCAAGCCACACCAGCCATTGCCAAATTTAACTGGTCGATTAACTTTTATTTAAGAGAACGTTTGTGCGGATTCCTCAGAAAATTTTAAGGAACTTGCTTCGTGCTATGCAGAAAATTCACTAAAATTTGAACAATAATTCGCACATACGTTTTCATGTAAAACATTAAATTGCCCAATTAAACTTGGCAATAGCTGATATGGCTTGGTTCTCTCTGTTTAACGTGGTCCAAATTGTAATGAATTATAACTTAATTCAACTTTACACACTTGTCTCTCGAATTATAGTTTGAACCATTGCAAATTAAAAGTCAAATATCGCCGGAACATAGGAACCATTGTAAATCAAAATAAAAAATATCGCATAAATGACGTAGTCCTGCACTAAACCAATCTATGGGATAAGTACTTTCTTCTTGCTCTAAGCGCCATTCATTCAAATGGACGTATTTAAATCAAAAGGAACTACATCCATTTGGACATGAGCCTAGAGATCCATAAAAATTGATGTATGGCAGGGCTCATGTTAAAATGAATATGATTCCTATTGATTTAAATGCATCCAAATGTAGTCGTAGACTGACTTTTTCATATTCATATAGCTGTGGTAAAGAATCTATTATTAAGGTGTCTGTTGTAAACACCCTTTTTATCGATCCTTTTCCATAGGTTTTAATGGCAGGTAAATTGATATATCGCAAAGTCCGCCACGTCACTGGCTCTAAATAATTTTTACCTTGTCTAGATTCGTGCTGGGATTTTGAGTCGCCGGTGACCGCGTCTTGGACATCGTAGGCGTAGCTGTAAGATGGGTTAGCGTCGTAGTCGGCATCGTAGGCGGGGGCTTTGGCGTATCCAGCCACAGGGACGTGGACTGCGGGGGCGGCGTGTGGAGCGTATGCGGGCGCGTGTGGGGCGTAGGCGGGTGCGTGTGCGACGTAGGCGGGCGCGTGTGGGGCGTAG